TTTTTTTTTTTTCCTTTTTTTTTTTTTTTTTTTTCAAAATGCGCATTCGTTTGTTCTTTCTAGATGGACCCTTCGTTCCATCGGGTGGCGTTGAATTTTACGACGACGATGATGATGATGCGAGGAAGAACGATGAGAAATAGAGAAATCTCTTGCCGAGACAAAGAAGTCTTTAGATAGAATTTATGAGAGATGCGGTATAGATGGTATTGTTCGATGGTTGGAATTTATGGTCGGTGGAGAAGTGGTTGTAAAATATTGAACCGAGAGTGAATACAGAAATACATGAAAAATGTGAAAAGTTTGTAACTGTTGTCTGTGTATATAAATTATTTGATAATTTATAATTGATAAATTAATTTTGAAATTATATTCTATAATAAAGTAAATTATTATACTTGAGCTGATACGTCATTAAATTTCTATATTAAAGGAAAGAAGTTAATAGACTCTACACTCTGCAATCACCATCAACACGCGGCTCAAATATCTCTCTCTCTCAACCCATAAATCCCTGTCAATGATTAAATTACCGGGAATGCATGTAAACGTGCAACATTCCATTAAGCTAGGTAGAAAAGTCGAACAGGACAACGTGTAACTAAAACGATCGCGTGCACGCAAATTCCTTTATATCCACGGCGGAAAGGCCGAAGATCACAGAGCATAAGGATCTTAGAAAACAGGAGAAACCGTTCTGATATCGCTAATGAATGGTATTATGTATGCAACGCAACGTGGACAGAGCGATATTTCTACGAATTTTTACGCATCGAAACTATACTAGACTCTCGAAGAAATTATTCTTCAAAAATTCTTGATTTTCCATCCTAGATTTTATAATAACAACGAGTTATCGATTATCGATAAATCATGAAACAAACGCGCGTTGCGTGAAATTATTATTGCGAGATTCAGATTCATCGAGGCTTACATCTAGCAACATGGGTGTGAAAAACAAATTACAGACTCTACCCTTTCGTGTAATTGCTCTCACGATCAAATATATCTCGAGCCTAAACGACGGATTTGGTTCGAACGAAAGTTGCATGATTAATAATCTCGAGTAATCATCTCGAATTCAAATTAAACTCGATTTATTTGTTCGCTCGCTCCATTTTCATCTTTTTCGTATTCACGAAAGCATGAAGCGCAAAATAAACGGCATAAGAGCATAATTTAGAAATAAAAGAGAAGAAACTCACCTTGCTGCTCACGCGAGATACAAGAGTTTCGATGTGACACTGCCATTCCAAAGCTCTAAGAAACAGCAAATGCCACCTGCGTTCCAAAGATTTCACAGTCCTCAAAACCTGCGACGGTTCCCCCCGTTGTTCCTGTTGCTCCTGCCTCTCTCCCCCCTCCTGTCCCCGTTGTCGCTGCTCCCCTTGCTGCTGATCGTACACCTTGTCCCCTAATTTCACGACCGAACTCACGATTCGACCGTGCGCCTCTATGTCTCGTTGGAGTACCTGTCAAAAAAATGTCAAAAATTCATCTTGTAATGTCGACATTAACGAAAAAAGTACATTATAAATATAAATATCATAACTTTTTCGAATAATTACAGCCACGAATGACGGACGAAACGCATAAATCGGACAACGATAAGTATCAAATCAGTATCGTATTCGAAATTGGAAAGCGGCTTCCAAATATGTATTCCGTATATACACACGCCCATCGGTTATCGAGTGTACGAATATTCGAAAGTACCCGGAAGCCCGCTCGAGGATCGATTTATGGGGTTTAAATTGCGTTTCGGCCGGGGGGATACCGTTATCGAGGATCATCTTCCGAAAGTTTCCTTTTCGCAGTCGTTGCAGATTAAGTCATGCGTTATGCGCAGGCGCATAATAATAACACAATTAACGACCGCGATTAACTTGGAGCCGAAATAAATCACCGATAAAAAAAAAAAAAGAAAAAGAAAAAGAAAAAGCTGCGATCTCGAATTTCTTCGATTATATTCTACGACCTCAATCGCGTGAACGCGTCACGGTGATCGGATTATAGCTTCCGTTCGAGATGCTCGAAGGAGAGCCGAGCAAAGGAACTCGTTCGTCAGAAGCACGGGCGTGGAAAATCGAGAAAACCACCTGATCTTCCCGAGGAAGTCGTTGAGAACTCTGGAGAGTCGTGACATCTTAACGTTTCGCGAAATCCACCACCATCGAGATCCATCGAGAAGGTTGGAAAAAGAATTCATGACCTCTTCATTCGGGTGGATAAGATAGGGCCGAATTTCCAATTAGTCGAAAGTTCCAGTTCTATCGATCATCTCCAGGTAGAGAGATTTCTTTTTCTTCGATTGGGATGGAGATTCGAGAAACGGGAGAAACAAATTGATTTAATACGCCGTTACGAGTGACGACGAATATCCCCCCCGTTACTTTCTCGGCCTTGGGTCTTGGAGATTCAAGATTCAACTGGTTATCTCGTCTGTCAATTATCCCGCGTAATAAGTATACAAATATAGCAGTTCCCAACCCGAGCGAGATACCCAAGTCTCGGCCCACTGCAAACAGCCACACTTTCTCGCTTTTCAGTCCTGTCTTCGGACGGATTTCCTCCTTTCTAAGAATCAAGCAAGGTGAAATTCATCAATTTCGACGAACGAAATGAAAAACGAAAGAATTCTATCCCCGTCGAGTAAGCGAAGAAGAAAAACGATGCACGAGAGGTTGGTTCGCTGTTGCACGCGCATCGCAACACGCGTCGAGCTACGTGGGAACTGGGATCACGATTTTCCTGCCCACGGCTGGATCGAAATCGGCGATAACAGGCGCTTTACTCCACTTTCCTCCACGCCTCTGCTTCTAATCAACGTTCGCACTGTAATCAACCTTTACCTGTTTTCGATCGTGCACACCGTTCACCGTAAATTTTCAAACAAGATGTTTGAGTTTAAGACGAATCGATCGATCGGCGACGATTAACTCTTCCCCTCGATTCTCTTTTCCACGATAATTTTTACTCCTTCTTTTTCATCGTTCGTGATGTAATCGATTCACACCGTTCACTGTAAATTTCTAAGAAAAAGAGTCTCTCTGAAGCTGAAACGTATCGAGCTTCTCCAGGATGATGGAGGAGGATTAGGATCGTTGTTTTATCTGTCCTTCTTTCTCCTTTTTTCTCTCTCCACGGTCGAAGAAATAAATCACGGTTGAGGGCAATACCGCGGACACCCTGCACGCTTGGGTGCAAAGGTTAAGCACACGCGTACAAAAGAAACCAGTTAAAAGCCTTTATTGCTTCCGCGAAGCAAGTCAAGCATTTCGACGCCGTGCTCATTACGCCACGAGAGAGCGTCTCTTCTGAAAATCTCACTCGCTGCTCCTTCTTCTCTACCGTGTAACGAGACACGCTATATATATATATATAAGTGTATTCGATTGCAGCGAATGTAACGAGAAGCTGGATGGAATGACGGGATAACGTGCAATTTCGAAAGCAACGGATTAACGGGGGAGGAATGGATCCAATGAAAGTGGCTTGGACGAAATTGATAAAATGAAGATTATACGGGTATATCGACGGTAAAAGTGACGCGGGTGATGATTCGTTATCGATAAGGGAACGATCTTTTCTCTGTTCCATCACCTCGAACACGAATCGTTGAAATCTCTGAGCGAAAATGAAGATTGTTGGTCCGAGTTACGATTATTATTATTATTATGATTATTGTTATTATCGGTGTACTCGTGGCAATATAGTAAAAAAAGAAAAAAAAAAGTAAATTACGAAGAAAGCGGAACGCGGAAATTAATTTTTCGAATAATTTTCACGCGCGCCGTCATTTCGGAAACTGCGCGACAAAATTGGTTCAGATGTATTTAAAACGAAAACGACACTTTCACATTCTTTGTTTATTGAAGAACTTAATCTCTTTCGATGAAATTATAGGGTTATAAAGTATCCGTTAAAAGAAAATCTTGTCGGTAATAATAATAATAATAATAATAATAATAAAGTTATCGCGATAAATGATCGTGCTTAACGATTGATCAGAACTTTGGTACGTTCGATTCTCCTCGAGCTATAAAAAAAGAAAGAAAGAAAGAAAAAAAGAAGAGGAAAAAAAGGCATTACTTTAACAAAGCTATCCACTTTCCCATCTAACACGAATACACGTCGAGAGTTTACGCAACATTCTCGCAAGAAACATCCTTCTTCGTTTATCCTGACACTTGACGCATCACGCAACGAGAAAAATATTCGACGCTCTTATCCTCTAAACGTTCCTTCCTTATAAATTCCTTATTAAATAACATATTTAATTGACAGAACTTTGGAGAAAGAGATTTATATTATCGACAAATTGGATTAATTTCTATTATTCCTGGTGGATACAATAGAATCTCAATTATCTTAATCTGTCGAACGAACGATTCGCATTGGATAGGAACTTCCAATTACCTATTCGATTTCTCATTCGAGTTTACATAAGTGGATTGAATCGACGTTAATCGAGTGACTAACTGAAATTTCGTTCCAATGAATGGAGCTTTGCTCGTATCGAGGCAAAATCGATGAATTCCCCATTATATAAATTTCAATCGAACCCTCCGTGACGGATTCGAATAAATGGGATTATATTCCTCCTATCTCCATCCAGTTCAAACTCAAATTGCTCACCAATGCTTTAATCGAGTTTACACACTTCCTCCACTCCTATCTAGAATCGACCATCCAAACATCGTTCACGAACACGCGCGCAAATCGCTCCAAGATATCTCGAATAGAAATTCTTCCTCTACTCCAACTCCATTTTTTAAATTTTTCAAAACTGCCAATTTAAAATTTTCTTCCTTCCATCCGGAGAAAAATTATTTTCCAAGCCCTCGAGAGGAGATTTTATTAACAAAACGATACCCATTTCCAAGCCGAGTAGCTCGGAATCGCCACGGAACAAAGACGTCTCTATCCTCATCTCGCATTAGCCCACTTTCTCCCATAGATTGCGTACGATTACGCGCGATTGTTCCACTTTATCCGCTCGCGTCGTCACCTCGCTTTCGACCGCGTTTGCCAACCCGTTTTTCCCGACTACGCTCCTCCTCGAGAACAATGGCCGGCGGAAGGGGCACGGCCTTATATCTGATATTGAAGATCTACGCCCGGATAAACCGTAAACCCGGTAATTGCCGTTTCCAGACACCCAGGGAAGGAAATCTCGAGATTCGAGGCGGCCACACGCACACCTGCCGTCCTACCCAAGGGAAAATCGCGCGAAAGCGGGAGAAGAATAAGAATAACGGCTAATTTGCTTCCTCGGGAATAGCGGGATCGGAAGATTCGATTTTCTAAATCGATCTCGGTTCGCTTCGATTTCTAACAACGGGAAAGTATGGACTTGGAGGGTCATAAACTTTGGGAGGGGGGGAAAAAAACTTGTTCCCGGGTTTTCGATGGAACTGTTGTTGCCGAGAGGATTTTTTTTGCGATACGCGTGTGTGTGTGTGTATCGATGTCATACGATTGTCGAGACGATTGATAGTTTCCCGTGAAATTCGTGACCCGGATTATTAAGAAAATATTGGTTACGTTATTTTTAATTTCCACGATTTTCTAATCGAATAAGTCTTCGTGTTATTATTACTATAATTATTGTTATGATATTCTTGGAAGTAAATAATGATAATATATTTAGATCAATGTTATCGAGATAAACGATTATCAGCGATAAAAATATCCGATAAAT